GAGGGTTTTCAAAAGAGAGGGCAGGGATAAGTACCTTATTTTAAAAAAACTTATTTTAATATTAATAATTAAGTTTAATTTATAAATTGACTTCATATAGATAATTAATACAAATAAATTGATGTGAAAGTCTGAAAAAAGTTTCTTCATATATCATGATACAAAATGTTATATGTACTCACATACGTCACACATTTGAAACTTATTTTAACACAGGATTACTTTTTATTTATATTTTAATCTTAAAAAATGTTAGGGGAAATTTTTTTATTTGCATAGAAAGCGAATCAATGGCCATACAGTCAAATCTAGCCAGCAAGGTGACTCTCCAGTCTTCAACACAATTAGTTTCTTCACTGTAGGTTAATTTTTTTTTAGGCTAGATTACATATATATTTCAATAGAATAGCTCTTTAATATAACAGGGGATGAAAAAAGAAATCAATCTTAGAAAAACCCACTTTAGGGTGGGTTTTACCGGGTTTTTCAGAGTGGGTTATACCCAGTAAAACCCGGGCGGGTTTTATTGGGCAGGTGGGTTTTTTGCAACCCTGAGTGTAATAGCTTCGAACATTACGTCATTCACCATCTTGTAATATTAAAAGAAGTTGCATCATCCTCTTGACATTGAGAGGCGCCAGCCAGACCAGAAGGGGAAGTCCCAAATTTATAATTAACTCTTAACTTTATACCATAGAACAATCTAATTCTTAGTCACATGCATTCTGGAGAGCACTGCGAGAAGGCAGCTCTCACGAGACATGTCAATAATGCTAACTGCTATATCCTTCTACGTATCTTTTCTAATTTTTTCCTTTAAAAAGTACACATCTTGTAACAATTTTAAGGAACCATTTTTAGAGTATTTAATCACTATGACGCAATGCAATTGAAAAAGAAAAACAATGTTAGTACTTTACAATAAATTTCAAAAATAGTGTCTTTACAACTACTTTCTTTATCTTGCTAACGCTATCAATGCTAAGATAGAATAGAATGTCAGAAAACTGTTAGTAAAAAAAAGAAATTTAAAAATTAAGATTTTTTCTTTTTTACAATATATAGCTTATACAGAAATGTCAAATGCGTAAAAATCTCAAGTTTGAATTTTTTGGCCCTCACTTTAATTTTTTTATTGCATGATGTTTTTACTTACCCTACAATACAAAGAACACTATCAATTTCCAATATAAGCACTCAAAACGCTTCTCCTCTTAACATTTGTGGAAAAACCAAAAACCACTACTAGATGGTATCATTAATTGTCAATTGTAACTGTCATAAAGATTCTTGTAAATAAGACATCTACATTTAGTGTAGTAGTATATCATCCATTGTCATGTAATCATCATGTTGATATAATATATTCTTTTTTGTTACTTACCCCTTTGACTAGTTATTTTTAATTTGAGTAGTTTTCCTGTATTTCAAGAAAACGAGATAAATACACTAATAGTTTAACCAATCTTCAGTGTAATTATATACTCGATAGAAATAATTTGAAGTCGAAAGACAAAACATTAAAAGGTTACATAAATTAAATGAATAGAGTTCATTAAATGAATGAAATAATAGGTTTTCTGTGAATCAAGATGGTCATAAACACTAAAAAAAATTTTTTGATTTTCCAAAATTATTTTATTGAATTTCCCTGATTTTAGTAATTGAAAGAATACATTTCATTATTAATTCATAAGTCATGACTTATACTTAAACAAAATACACTACACTTACATAAATGTATTAATATATATACAGTACAAAAGTTCATAATCAAATTAAACACATATATTTGATATACGAGTGTAAAATAAACCGTTTAAAAAAATTATTATAAGAACAATTTAAAACAAACATATTTGACTTTTAAATACCTTAAATTGAAATTAAATTCCCCTGACTTTTGTGGTATTTTAGTTAAACCTCCCGATTTGTTCCCTACTTTTCCCTCTTGACTGATAAAATTTCCTTAATTTTTCCCTGTTCAATGGAAACTGTGTACTTATTAACATTCATTTGGTAAATAATTCCTTTGGTTGAAAGGCAAAAGAAGTATAAATGTAAAACACATTTGCGGAAGCTAAAAGTAAAATTACCTTTTCTTCATTCAGCATTCCAGGACAATCAAAATCAAGGCCTAGAATAGGAACAACTAGTACATCTTCCAGATGATTCTTCGAGTTTAAGCCTGAATCCACTTCTGAGAGGCCATTTGCTTCATCCACATGGTTTTCTTGACTAATAGTGTTGGCAAGTTTAGTGCTTTTACGACCAACTAAAAACAAAAGAACGCAATAAAACTTTAGTATTTTGCAAGTTCAAAATCTATTGAAGTAACTGGCAAATCTAACTCTTCATTTGAAAACAAAAAACCCTTTTTTGTAAAAATAAAATAAATAAATGAAATTCTAGAATTCAGACCCTTAACTAACAATTTATTTACAAAAGGAACCTTACAGAATCGTTTTTAAAAAAAATAGATAAAAATAACTAAACTAAAAGGCAAATATCAATGTCCTAATTGTCAGATTGAGAGGAAAAAAAATCACTTCATTAAAGTAATCATAGAAAAATATAAGAATTTGACAAATTTTATTAAATGAAGAATTTAGACTACTGAAAAATATGGAAAGAAAATGAACATAATCACCTTTTCCTAGAAAACTGCGCTTAGTTGAAGGGGTTAGGGGATGTGTATCAGATGTACTTGTACCAGGAGTAAGATGGCCCCCATTTCCATTTAGCAAAGAGGTAGCAGTCAGAGAAGTAGTGGGCAAATGATTAATCATCGCATACAGAGTTTTTTTTACAGTGGTATCTGATGATTCTGCTTCAACAGATCTCAGAAAAGAAACCTGAAAAAATTTATTATTAATATCATTTATATATATAAATATATATTTTTTATATATCTAAAGGAATTTCTTGATCTTATCTTTATATAAAGNAGTTTGATTTAACAAAATAATTAATAAATAAAAAGATAAATACAGAAAAATGCCTTATATAATTAAGCTGACTACAAGACATACAAAACAGAGCTGGAAGTGACTTTCTGTAAATCAAACACAAGTGAAAAAAAAAGAAGAATAAAATAGACTATAAAGCCATAAGTAATTAATTGGGCATGTGTTTTTACTTTAAAAGAAATAAAAACAAATAATACTCATAAATAAATAAAGATCTTTAAGTCTTTAGGTTTTGTGTTTTTCCATATACCAAGACAATTTAGCTGCCATTTTGGTGATATCAAAGTTGCATCATAAAATAAATTTAGGGATTTTTTTGTTAAAAAATATTAGGCAAAAAATAAAAAGATGAGCATAATAAATTGAATAAAAAAAACTAACTAAAACCTTAAAATTATTAGTTACATTTTAAGATTACATAGTTATACTCCATTTCATAATTCAGGTTACATCATAAATTACTATTGACAAGTATTTTTATAACTTATAAGAAGTGAATAAACTTTGTCAAACATGCACACAATATATACATAGAGGTGTGTGTGTATATATATATAAAACACAATGACTAGACAAAAAAGAATAAAAAACTATTGTATTGATATATTTTGCTTTGCTATACCAATACAATATTAGAAAGCACTCTTTTTTCTGGATATAATTGTGTGAGCTGATTATGAGATTATAACTTTTCCTTATTTTGATTGTTTTCCGTTTTTTTAAATGTAAGAAATGTATTTATATATTTTCAGTCTTCTTACACAATTTGGCATGTTCTAAAATCACTGTTGTCCTTCAGATTTTAAACAGTAAATAATGTTATAAAACTCTAACTTACTAGTGAAAGAAGTTCAGATTCAGTTATTAAAACAGCTGATCTGTTTAAATCTTGAAACTGATTAACAAGGTCAGCCGGCGAGTCAGTTGCGCTTCCTTCCAATATTAAATCCAACAATGATGACATGCAATCCTGTTAAAAACATAATTTATTCAATATTTTAGTCAATTTATTTTGAACATTTAATTTATCAAATAAAACAATAAGCTTATTTGTAGAATAACTTAAAAACTACTATTAAAGAACATATAAACTGCTTAATAAAATAAAATAAAAACAAATAAAAATAATTATTAAGACAACAGTTATAAAAAATTACTTAAAAGTGTACAAATAATTGGAAAGCTGCAATGGCTCTGTGGCTAAGGTAGTGAGTTGTCATTGTTAAGGACTTGGGCTGAATCTCCAGTGACCTGAAGCCAGCTTGTCTGGGAAATAAAGTGGATGAGCAATGTTGACCACATTATCATAATCATACCATTGTGCAAGAAATTATAGAGCATTTACATCCATGAAAGTTAGGTCCCTAATAGGTTGTAGAGGAATGCTTTACTTTTTCTTTCGGCGGTTATTATAACAGACTTATAAACAGACAGACCCCGATTTTTTTTAAATGCAATATCATTAAAACATACAAAATTAAAAATAATGGAGGAATATACAATTTTTTTTTAATACAAAAATTTTGTACTCTTTGAAACCAGTTAATAGAGAACAAAAATTTATTGCGTTAAGAAATTCTTTAGGTTATATTTTGCTGAAAAGTGTCGTATTTGAGGATGATAATAGCACCCATTTCTACACTCTTACCTATTTTCAAACATGAAAGCGGGTTTGACTATAAATTAATTAGCGAACCTTGAGTATATTTATTTTAGCCACGTTTCTGGAAGTAATTACCCAAATAAAAGCAATTTCATTCATAATTATAAAACTTTTTTGCCAATCTTTAAAAAGTGATTTAATAATTATTTTTTATAACCCAATAAAAAAAATCAACAAAAATTTTTAAATTAAAAAAATATAAAATTTTACATCTAACTAAATTACGTTATTTTGAATAAAAACATTTTTAAAAAACGCTCAAATATACTTTATAATATAAATTAAACCAAATAATTGTCTATTTTGCACTTAATTTTATTAGTTTCTTATAATCAGTACAACCACAAATAAGAGCGGGAACTACCGCATTATTTTACGAGATTTGTCAGAGTGAAAAATGTCTCTGTCGATTCCAGGTTTAAGGACAAGATAATATTTTGCCAAGACTTTTTTGTCCAATATAGTTTTTCATGACTTTTCCCAATATTCCTAATGTGTAAGAAACTCTGCTTCATAACTATTTTTAAAATTTTAAGAGATTTCAAAATTCTAAATGTGGTTGAATGTAGAGTTTAAAAGCAAAAGAGTAAAAGAAGTATCAGTGTTGGCTATGTCTTTACACAAACAGTATTATATACTCAATGCAACAATATCAAATGATGTGATAAACTTATTTAGGTGCAAAAATAAAAAATCACTTTAGGGCTTTTGATCAAAAATACCCTTAAATCTCAGCACAAAGATTTTGATAACTGAATAGGAATATAACTTTTCTTAACATTTTGCAGTCCTAAGCTATAGATAAAATAATATAATTACCAAATAAAACATAAATAAACAAATAAAAGATAACTTTACCTTCTCAAATTTTCCATATAAATCCATAAGTTTAGGATCAATTTCTTCCCATTTCGACATGGCCAACACTTGCAAAATTTGAGCCACCTGCATGAGATTAAACCGGGCAATATAACTTATTGGAATATCTGTAATCCCATAAGACTCAGGATCTACAATGGCTGGACAGATAAAAAAGGCAAACACAAGATCTGCGCACATGGCCCCGACTTCTCTCACTTCCACTCTCTTAGCCTTCATTACTATATTATACATCTGCCGCGCCAACCAAGACAAGCTCTGAGGAAAGCAATAAAGATTATTACGTATCTCTTCAATAAAGCGATTGGCTATGCTAACTAGTTTACTGATTGTCCAGTTGCGATAGCGTTGCAGAGAAGCAGCATACTCAGGGGTGCCCTCTTTGCCAAAATGGCGAAGGCGCTCTTGAGGATGGAATCTCACAGCGGCTTTGCTAGGGTCTATATCCAGAAATAGATCGTCAGCCATCAGTAAGTGCATTATAGGTTCATGTAAAGCAGCAGTTAGAAATATTTTTGCACTGAATAAGCATTCACTGAAAATCTTGTAAACTCTGCTGAAGGCACAAGATCCATGCCTTAATAATCTCCTTGGATTGTCACTGATAGCAAGCTGCAACGACATAAGCTCTTTCAGCAATGTAAGTGCATGAACTTCATCTTCAGGTAGTATACAATTGCCATAGATTGCGGTCATTACTATGTTGACAACGTTGTGCATTGTGTTGATATCAATCTTCTCCCCGTAATACAAACAAGCTGCAATGATTTTGGGATTCTCTCGAAGCTGCTGCAAGAATTCTGAATAATTGCAATCATTTATTCCCAGATGCTTATAGGAGTCAATAAAGTTTGAGCCCTCTACACCATTCGATCTTTGGTAGCAGGCTGAAAGATTCATATCAGTGTGTGACAAAAGGAGACTGTCGAGAATTTGTCTTTGTTGACGAGCAATCCATGACAAATGATACAAGTTTTCTGCGGCTTTCATTACCTGAAATAAAGCAAAGATATAAAACTTTTGGCATAGTTTTTGACAATTGTCAAAAATCATGAAATTTTGAATCCTGTAACACGAATGGCGCTTTCATACACTACAGACTGACTATACGCCAAAATAGCTTGGGGTTGAATTAATTATGAAAACGTTGAATGAAACAATGTGAACTGCGTCTTTTTGCATAATTCGAAGCAAAAATCAACATGGTAAAGGAAAAATCTCATTTTGAAAAAGGAAAAATTAAGCACTTTTTAAAAACACCCAATGAAAAAAGCACCTTTGAGGGCTTTTAAAAAACGATAATCGAAAATAAGCAACTTTAAGCACTTTTTAAAAATGTTATGCACCCTGTTATAAAATTTAATTAGTACCTATACATTTTGGAATTTTAATGTCATAATTTAAATATTTTTTAAAAAAAGTTTACAGAAAGAAAGTTTTGCAGGTTGGCTATATTGTTTTTTCCAATTTCTAGCTGGAAGGAAAAGGGCCTTCATAGAACATTTCAGCAAAGATTGTGCATCTCTAGGGCAAAAACTTTCTTTAAATAAAACATTTCACATTTTAATTTAAAGTAAATGAATAAAACATAATAAAAATTAATAAACTACACAACAAAAAAGTATAATTCATGAGAAATAGAAATTTTTTTCACTAAAATAAAAGCTCTTTGACAAAATACTTACTTTTTCATTTAAATTCTGCAAATTTTGTTTTTCTGAATTGACAAATAAAGACTCCTGCCTCAAATGACGAGCAAGATCCATTAAATCCATTCTAGAAGACATTGTGAATTTTCTGAAAATTCAAATATAAACAAATGAAATTTTATAAAATAATAACTTCTCCCTTTTTAAGTTACAAAACGTAACTGTAATATTGCATAATCCAGTCATATATTTTAACTTAAAATGTAACAAAAGTTAAGCTCAAAGAACTATAGACCTTTTCAGAATATTAAATACTAGTTGAAATCTCAGACTTCATAGTGAAATAAATGAAAGTGAATCAATAAATATGTATTAATCAACACCACTATGTTCATTATGTTCAAAACGAAAACACTAAAATCAGTGTTAATAAGTTTTTGACAATTGGTGGTTTTAACTCTCACAATAAAAATCCCCTTTTGACTTAGTTTTTGACAATTATCAAAACCCGAAATTTTGAAATAGAAAATAATTAGCCATGATAAATATAAAGTAATTAGAAACTAAAGTATACATGAAATTAAAAGTAATCAATCAACTGTATTCTTAAATTATTTTGATATAAAACTCGTTTTTGTTAAGAATTACTGTCGAAAATCATTATCTTTATAAATTTCCTTGCATAATTAAATTAAAACTATTAAATTTAACAAATTATAACTAACATGCACTAGGAAATTTTTCCTAACAACAAATTACTAATAACAAATTAACAACAATTTCTAATAATAAATTTTGATAACAAACTTAAATTAATTCATTGAAAAAATTAATTTATTAATCATGGAATGTATCATAATCATGATCCACCGATAATGTTCATGTAATCATAAACACAAACTAAAATTATTGAGAATCAAAAAGATTTTCACAAATTAAGATCAGTTAAAATTATTGGTGAACTAAGCTAAAAAATCTGTTGAAACATTGGCATAAAGAGAATTAAAATTTCAGACTGATATCAATTTATAACTCATTATTTTTGTTACATAAACTGAATGTTTTCTGATAATGCAGTTAATAGTTTTAATAAATATTGCATTATTTTATCCACATGATGAATAACATGATTCAATTATAACTATAGTAATAATTAAAATGAAAGTATTGTGCATGACTTAAACAATTATGTAACTTGACTTCTAATAAAATGTTCCTGATGACAAAAAAAGTTTTAAATAATTTTTGTCAGATATTGACAGTTATTTGATATGTCATGTCAAAAGCTAGTTTTTGACGTCAAGTCCAAAATTGAATGGAGATTAAATATATCTACAAGATTGAAAATGATGCTATTCCTTGTGGCTAATTCCATAGTCAAAATTTACCATAATGAAGCAATTTTCTTAATTAATCTTGCACTTAAATTTAAAATCTCTGAAAGCTAACACACATAAATGACATTATAGTTTAAATATTTGAAAAATTAGAATAGTCTTAAGTTTAATTTGTAACAATACCAAACCTATTAGAAAAATTGATTCTTCAAAAGTTTTGAACGAATAAAATTATTAAAATTTTTAAAGAACAGGAGCTATATTTGTCTCTTCCGAATTTCAGGATGACAATTTTGAAGTCATAGGAGAGATGCACAGTCAAACAGAAACTCTATGAATTATTATAGATACATATAAGTGGTAGAATTGGTATGATAATATTCTACTAGTAATAAATTATTTGTAACTACTAAACTATAAAAATAAACCTGAATGGTAAAACGCTAAGTCTATAGCTAAAGGAAAGGAACTAAAATTTAAAATTTTAGAAGCCAGAATAAATTTTTTTGTATTCCTTACTAATTTTAAATTTTTTGGTGACCTGGCTTTGTTTATCTTTACTTATTACTATACTTTGAGATGGTACTTTTTTGTTAGCCTTTTTTGAAATTCATTTTTAACACAAACAAAATAAGTGTCCTGCAAAAATAGTCTAATTTACTTATGCCTAGTTCATAGAAATGCATCTTAGAGATTTTAGAAGGATATTTTGGTATTAATTGGTATTTATTTAATTGGATATTTTGGTGCTTTGTAAATAATAATCTCAACATAAGAGCAATAAAATATAAACTATTTATGAAAATATAAATTATTTATGAAAATATAAATTATTTATGAAATATAAATTATTTATGAAAATATAAACTATTTATGAAAATATAAACTATTTATGAAAATATACTGAATATTTATGAAAAAACAAAGGTCGCTTGGAAGTATTTGTATCTTAATAGTTAGTGTGAACATAAAACATAAAATAAGTGTCAACTCACTCATTTCACAAAAGTATTGCCTGCACAGTTGTAAACTCACGTTTTTTCTCAAAATTTCAGAGGATCTTAAGTTTTGACCTCCAAAACTTTGAGGGAAAAAAAAGGATGTCTAACAGTTTTATATAAAGAACATAATTAAAATTTCAAGAAAATTTAAAAAAGCTGAATTTTAACAAGAAAAATTAAAACCAAAATTTCTTCATTAATTGTCCCTAAATGATCAAAATTATTTGATTTTATTCCGCAATTTTAAGTAAGCAGAATTTACTTCTTAAATATTTTTTTTTTTATTTATGCAAGTCTGGCAAGCGGTTGAATTTAGAAAAACACCTGGTTTAATGTCAAGTGCATTTCTTTAGTTGATAAATTGAGCCAGATTAGAAAAATAACTAATTTTATTTTACCAAACAGTTTAAGATGATGATTTTTAATAGAAGCAAATGCACTACAAAATGGTCAGTATAAAGTAGCAAAGAAAAGTCTTGAGCGACATTCAATCTAAAAGTTTTGAGGTAACGCTTCTCTAAATAACCTAGACAAAAATAATGATTTTGAATCTATGTGGTCAGATGCACACATACAAGGATAAGTGATAAAATTATTTGATGCATTTTCGATACTTTGTTACTTACTGAGAAATGCATAAAATGGTGACTTTTGATCAATTAAAGAGTATATATAGTTTTATAAAGCTTAAGAGTAACCTTTTGAGCTAAGAATAAGTAGGAAATTTTAAATATAATTTAGATCATTTTTAATTAAGTTGATGGTGAAAAGATTTAAACTAAACATGATTGATTTAATTTTACAATTCTACTTCAAGTGAATCAATTATTGATTGCATATTCATGAGTTTTTATTTAAATAAGCATATATTATGCATCCCAGAATAATGTAATAAAAATTGAGTAACCAATATAAAATCATCACTTAATATAAATTTAAAAAACTCAACTCACAAAGGCAACACATATAAAATATTCATAGTACAAAAAAATTTAGAACACCATGTTTATCATGAAAAACAAAACCTAGTTATTCGATAATCCTTATTCTAGAGTTTGTGTGAACATTAACTTAGCATTTTAAGCTTAGTTAATAGTACTTTAAACTTTGATAAATGTTCTACTACTGTAACATTCCGAGTTAGGTAACAGTAGCGTTTTTGGTTAACTCTTAAGGTGCAGAGCATAAGTTATTTTAAAGATAAAATGAGGTTTAGTTCGAACTTTAATAAGCAATTAAAATTTTTTATAGCAATACACTGAGAAAGGAAGTAATTAGCTGTGTATTTGTTTTACAAAATTATTATATCTGTATTACTGTTTATTATAACGAATAAATCTACATATTACCCTGCATAAATATACACAATAACTAGTCAAATCTAGATGCGAAGTTTTAAATAGCAATTTTGAACTAGCATCAATTATAAATTCAGTATAAGATAGATCAAACTCTAGTTGAAAAAGGCGCGACACTAAATTTTACTTAGCAAACATTATAAATAATTTTAAAAAAACAATTTAAGACATTCAGTAGAGAAACTTTATTGAAACTGTCACACTATAAGTTCTGAACAGTTCGCGGATTATTTTGTAAGTGACAAGTATCAATACGAATTACGTACTTATTAAGCCTGTTGCGAATACAAATATTTAAGACATTTTCATTTCAGGAAAAATTTCTAAACTGGAAATAATAAACTGGAAATCACAAATGAATTTCAACTCTAAATATATCAGTCAGTTCAGCTGGAATCAAAACAGTATAAAAACTACAATATTTTTAAGACGATTTCCCAGCCCACCCACTGAAACGAAATTGACTGCTTGTTGACGTTCAGCTTGATTGCCAATCCGTAAATATTAGGAAATGTTATGAAAATTAAGTTTAAAAAAGGAAAATAATCTGAAAATGAGTCAGAATAGTAATCTAAAATGTGTGAAGAGCAAAAATTTACTTTCTTTCTTTATTTATGAAAGAAATTTTAATTTCTATCAAAAATACAAACGATAATTTGAAAAAATATTTTGAAATTTAAGACTCGTCGCACTAACTCAGGTTTATTAAATTAATATTGCAGAATTAGAAATTTTAAAGTTGGCAATCATGTTTTGACTTTTATTTATTTTATTTGTGATGAATGACTAATAATTTATTGTTTATAATCCTAATTTATCAAAATATTAATCACATCTATCATAAAAAAAAAACATGGTTGAATTTTTCACGCATGAGGTGGCTCGTAGTTAGTTGATCAGTCTTCCAAATTAAATTTAGGATTAATAAATCTAATTTTCAACTGGATATGGGGAATTCCTAATAAGTATAATTTTTCTTTGTTTTTTGACATGAAAAACGAAGTCATGGGAACAAGAATCAAGTGAGAAAGAAACTACATTTTTAATTATATTATTATTTTAGTTATATTTTATTGTATTTAAAGTACATTGCACGTTAAAGCACTTACATTCTGAAAAACAGTTGCTTACAATTATTAATTCCTCATTTGCATTATTATTGACCAAGTATTATAATGAATGATTACAGAAAAAAATTATCATACAGGATGAAAGCTTGTAATTTTTATGAAGCAATAAACATGACAAGATTTAGTTTCGCTGTAATGAACTCGTCTGTACAATGTGGAACTGGGTACACTTTGGAACCTGTACAACTTGGGACTTTTTTAGTTATATTTTATTATATATTAAGTACATAACATGTTATAAACTTACAATTCTAGTAGAATATAAAGACTTATAATTTTTAGGAAGCAGTAAACATGACGAAGTTTAATTTTACTATAGAACTTGTCTGAACAGTTTGAGACTATGTTGCAAAATGTTTTTGTGATTTTTTTTATTTGTTTATAATTTTTTTGTGTGTCAGTACTTATTATAGGCCCTGTCTCCATTCTGTTAAAAGGATTGCATGACCTCTAGACATACTAAATTTTAATCGTTTTACATTTTTTGTTTCTTTTAATTTATTGAAACCATTTGTGTTTGGCACAGTGTAACCACTTCCATTTCTTATGCTCTTTTACACTCTTTATCTAGCCCCAACGATATAATCTTAGACAGTTGGATTATATAATTATTGGATCAAATAATTAATGGCAACCACTTTAATTTTATTTAAAAAAATCTCCCTAAATTGTGATGTAGAAGAATTGAAATTAATATTTAGATTGATAACAATTTACAACTCCTAGTTACTACCTCTAATATAAACTGAATAGTTATTATTAGAGCCCAGATTTTGATGACCTAAAAAATCTCAACTAATGCCCTTAAAAAATGAGAAAAATGCCCTTAAGTGCAAAAAATGCCCTTAATAATGCGAAAATTGCGCTAAAAATGCCTTATGACATGACTTAAATAAAGTAAAAATATCGATCTAAAACAATGTTTTACTCTTTAAAATTATGAGTCATTTCAAAAACTATAAAGCAATGCAATACTTGTTCTACGTTCATTAAAGTTTGAAAAATATGTTTTATATCCTAAAATAACAAAAAAAAGAAAAATATATTGATATCAAAACATTTTCNTTTGTTATAGGTATTCTTTTTGATATTCTTGTACATTAAGCTATTCTTTGTCAGATAACTTACAGTACTTGTTTGATATAAAGTAATTTTATAAGCCTAATGGCATTTTAGCATTTTGCTAAAACTTTTTTTCAGATTTTAGCTTTTTTGCTAATGAATTTTTAGACTCAGCTTAAACCGTGTATCAGAATTACATTGGATTATTAAATGTTTTTCGATAATTTGAAATGTAAACAAGCATCTCTTGTCTGAAAGTAAATTTTTATAACTGGAGAAGCTTCTTTCAATGTCTACTGATGTTAATAGTGCGTATTTGAAAAAGACGGTCTCAGTTACTGACAATTCTTCTTCAATTAGAAAAGTTGTTGTGTTCCAGTGTTCTTCTCCAAAACTTTGTTCAATTTAGCTGCTATACTTTGTCCTATTTTTCCCCTTGCTTTTTGCAACACTCGACTCAGTACATCAATATAATTTATTGCATTGCTAAGTTCGAGTTCTTGTTTCTCCAAGCTTGTAATTGTCGAGGACACAATAGCAAAGTTAGACTTGATAAATGCTAAATTTCCTTTGATTTTATCAGAAGCGAACACGTTTAGCGCTATCTTAATTGATGCAGCATCTTCTGAATCAAAACTACTGACGATAGACTTCACTATCTTAAAATTTTCACTGTAGTATACGCATGCATCCAACCAGATACCCCATCGTGTGATTACTGGTTTAGGGAGCAAAGCTGACTAGGAGCAAATGTTTTGAAACATTCTTTGAGAGTTACAATATGAAATGTAAAATTATGAGACAAATCTTGCATTTCATGTAATAAAAATACTCCAAAAAATAATAGAAATTGGAAAAAATTAACAAAAACCTTAAAAAATGTTTTAAAATGCAAAATACGCCCCAAAAATTTTTTAAAAAATGCCCTATGAATCTAAAAAAATGCTCTAAAGGACCAAAAATGCAAATGTCATCAAAATCCAGGCCTTAGTTATTATATAGCAAATAATATGGATCTTAAAGTTAAAGTATTAAGAGTACCATGTTCTTAGAAAAACCAATTAATAGTTTCAATAATTTTGGTTATATTTTCTATACATCATATATAATATGAATCAATCATAATTATAGTAGTATATAATGCAAGTACTGTGCATGATTTAATATCTAAAAAAATTTCCCCAATGACAAAAAAGATGTCAATTTATAATATCAAGCAAAGAATATTTTTGCAATGTTAAGCAAAAGATCTGCCATTTTAGATTTAAGCAAGAAAACGAGAGTGTGAAATCATTCGTTTGCTCTGTTCATTATGGTTGTACAAAAATTTGGACTCCCTCAAGCAATTGCTTAGGCATAAAATGAGATAGATTAAAAGTAGAACATTTCCGAGTATTGCTAAAAATATCAATATGTCTTTGTGCCTCTGCATCTCCACAAAAGGTGCCCACTTTGAAACCAATTAAATTCAGTTACTAGTAAAAGTCTTCTCTTATTATAATTTGTTATATTTTGTTAATTTATTTTTATTAAGTTTCAACTAAAAATTTATTGTTTTTTTTAAAAAAGGAAATGAGATAGTCAATAACGATTGAAATAAAAGAAAAAAGGTGTGTTGGGGGAATAATGTAAGAACCCAAGATATTGTAGGATGTCGAAATTTTTAAAAATAAAATTAATTTTTAAATATTTGAGGAAAACTGGCAAAATAGAATAGTTATTATGATTGGAATTTTTCAAAATATGGAATGATTTCCAGAAATCCTGGTCAATTGATGAGGTAAAATATTTAATGATATTATCAAAGGAAAACATAATACCTTTACCAGTAATGGAAGAGTGTTGATTCTTTCTTGCAGATTATCTTAATTTTAAACTTATTTTTTATATTCTTAAAATCATCGCTCAGTCAAATTTTAAGTTATGTTTTAATCATAAATATAACTTCTCGTGCCTGGAAATATTAGCTTTTTTTGTAGAATGTACCTTATTTATTTGCTTAATGGTTGAATAAAATCTGGAATATTTTAGGAGTAAATGAATTTTATTTATTTGATTTTTTTTTCATTATAGGAAAAACCCTCATCTTATTTTTGAAGTTTTCTGTGAAATCGGAATTCCTCCTGAATCGAATAGAGGTATTTTTCATTTATGGTACTGTTAAATGAAGAATTTAAATGTTGTTGTAAATTTATTAAAGTATGCATTAGTTGTAGCAGTAACAATTTTGTAAATGTAATTCGGTGATTTTTTTCTCTCTTCTTTAGAACCATGGATAACATGGAAGTATCCTTACAACTATAAGCACAATGTAAGTTTTCTTCCTCTTAATATTGTTTAACAGAAACTCTTGATTGTATGTTAGTGTTCTCAGTATTCCAAAATTCATGTGTCCATTTTTGCAAACATGAATAATCACTGTTATTATAAAAGCGTGCAAAACATTTAAAAAAATTGCTGCCAAAATTAAAAAGCAAGGAGTACAAAAAGAATTAAAAATTCACATAAAAATATAGGGTTGCAAGCACTATTCAGAGATGTTAGAAGGAGTTGCAAATTGTATGTGATAAACAAAATTTTACTGTATCATTTTATTTCTTCTATATTTCCACGCATGCTATATAATTTATGACCTATATAGATACAAGGGATGCTCAAAGATTTTCCAAACTGTGGGGGCAGTAGGACCCATTTGAGAAACATCTGGTAAATGGTAAGTTTGAGGAGTGCCATGTAAGGGAATATGGTCTAAATAAAATGAAGAAAGATTTTTGTTTAGTGTTTTTAAGTATTATGCACCCTTTCTAGTTTCTCTTCATACCACATCTGCCACGCATCTATCTTGTTTCTCTATCTTTTAGTAGCCATAGTAGTACTATCGTGTAAGTTTGACCCCAGTCAGATGACATGGACAGGACCTGAGCTGGCACCTCTACCTCCAAACATTCATTTCACAATCAATGAGTGAACTTATATTCATGAGATATTTAGCATACACTTTGCTTCATATACATGCCAGTTATTTAGTTAACAAGATAAACTCACTATCTTCAGCTTTGCAACCAGGGTTGGCAAGGTTTAGGACAGAATGGATTAATCCACGGTTTAAACCGTGCTGTCCAAAACCCCTTTGTCCAAAACTGTCTTAAACTGTCCAAAACCCTTTTACTCAAATTATGTCACAATTTTATCTGAACAATATTTAAGAGGTAAAATAAACATAGAACTAATAACATATTGATAATTAAATATACTAGAGAATATTTGTTTTTAAAAGTATAATGTTTTATTAATATTGTTTGACTCTTCAATTTAAACAAAGGAAGATTAATCAGTAATCAAGTTCAATTGGTCCTCTCATTCAATAGTACATAACTGAAGTTTGGCCTTGCCATACAGGTTAAAATATTAGGGACTAAGTGCTTGGTTCGTCATAAACAGGTTTATTTATCTATAGTACTATTCAAGAATACTTTTATTTCATTCATGTTCAATTCTTTTAGCATAGTGGTGATACATCACCAGTGTCAGTAACTGAAACTGATGTTATGCCCTTCAAAACTGTTAATACATTTTTCAGTTATTTTGTATTTTCAATTTAAATTAATATATTTATATTTAAAAACATTTTTTTTAAAAATAGATGTCTTTTTTATCATCCTGTGATGCAGAAATTATAACATTTTTTTAAAAAAATATTGTGAAAAATAAAAGGTTAATTTTTGAACAAATTTAGTTTTTTTTTTAAGAAAAATTATTATTTTTTAATATTGCCATATTTATCCTTATGCAAAAATATTATTTATCAGTATTAAAAGCATATTTATATTTAAAGGATTAGGTATTCACTTTTGTTGTTCAATGAATTGTGGAGCTTCAAAAATTATAAACCTTTTCCTATTATATTATATTATTTTCTTTTAATAAGTTATAGTAAATTGTATAAAAAATATCAAATATTTATTGATACATGTAATTATTATGTGTACAATGGTTACACCTATAGAATTTTTACCTTTTACCAAAGTTCAAGGTTTTGGACACTTTAAGACAGTTTAGGACAGTTTTACCCAGTTTAGGACAGTTTTACCCAGTTTAGGACAGTTTTAGCCAGTTTAAGACAGTAAAATCCACGTGTCCTGTCCAAAACCAGTTTAGGACGTCCAAAACCCCAACCCTGTTTGCAACCCTATGTTCCTTTAGGAATTTTTATTCTTTTTATACGTCTGCTTTTGTCTTTTTACTTTGGCTAAGCATTTGTCGAAATCTTCTTTAATAAAATTTATGCATAAAAAAAAAATCTCATTTACAAATACAAATATTTTCTATTACGACATAAATAGTGTGAAATTGAATTAAATAACATTGAAAGATATTACTGATATATTTAAAAAAATTTATAATGTGTCAGATAAATTAAAACAATAAAAATTGTTTTTATGTCTTCAACAAAACAATGTTAGTGTTATTAATCTTTTGTTGTCATATGGCAACTTAAATTCTATTGAGTATAAACAAAACACGCCCACAAAGAGTTAATATCAAACTTTTTAATGAATTTTATTGTTCAGTTAACTGGTTATCTCTTATCACTTTTTTTTTATGTTTAATATCTAATATAGTTTTATTGCAACTTAATTAACAAACAAAATTTTCAAATTAATATAATTTGATTTACTGTTTCACACCAAAAGAAACATTTATTGTAATCCATAGTTATTTTTAGAAATATGAAGGCCTTGGTTCTACTATGTCATTGAAAAGCTATATTAATGTTTCACTCTTCATTTTCTCCTAAAGGAAAAGTATCCTTAATTAGTTGTAATTATTCTAATCGAGAATTTTTCCTTTCTAGGAAATTCTGAAGTCTCTTCCTGGTTTTGCTTATCCTTGTGAATTCAACAAGTAAAAATAAATATTTATGCTTTTTGAACTCTCTTGTCTATTAAATTCATTTTATTGTTAAATTTTATTGTCAAAATCAAATAAATCTTTATATAGTTTCTCTTTTTTTATTTCAATAAATGCAGCAAGAAATGTAGAATAAATTTTTTTATTAGTTTCGTAATGCTTCTTTTAGTATTGCTGTGCAACATTTTTCCTTTGTTCTAACCAACATTGACAGCCAGTGGACATTTGGGTTTTGTCGACATGCTTCTAATTCTTCCACTTGCTATGTCATGCTCAGGTAAATAAATTTTTAAATGTAATCGTAATATGTTGCTTACTTATTCTGTTTTTTCCCCCCTCCTGAAGATTTTGTTTTCTTTTTTTCAGTTATTTACCTTGGCATGAAGTTTTTTATAAAATTTTAAATCATGTAGCTGAATTAACAAATAAACAAGAGGTTTGAAATTTATTTACCTATTTTAACTTATACTTTTATGATTTTTTTATTTACTGCTTCCCTTAACTTTCTGTTTTCTTTACTCTCCTATACTTATTTTTTGTGCATTTCTTTTAAGTAAAAAAGCAAATGTTCTGTTTCCTAAAGTAAAAAGTTTTTAGTTTAAATTTAATCGAATTAAAGCTATTCTTGTAGTGCTAAATTTGACTAGCCATTTGAAAATTTATAAATTTCTTTGTATTATTTTAGTTATGCTCTTGCATTTTAAATTTCATTTCAAAATTATTTCTATTGATTAATATTTTAAAAAATTTAATAATTAAATTTTTTACTGATTTGAAATTATTTCTTTAAAAACCCCCACCTATTTCTAACATTTTTATAAACAGTTCTTTCCTATGTCATTTGAAAATAGCAGTTAATAACTTTTATTGTGCTTGTCAATTATTTGAGGAATGCAGATTAAATGTTTATTAAAATGATTTTTTTTATGCTTTTTTCTGAATAGAATCTCTTTCAAATTACATTATTGTAATTATGATTTCTATTTTTTCTTCTTTATTTTTTCAGTTTATGTCATATCTTCATTTTCTAACTGTTTAACTTCTAGAGAAAATTTCTATCTGTTATGTATTATTTTAAAAAACATTTTGATGAGCAAAGTTTTCAATAATTTTCCTGTTATAGGCATCAAAATCTAAAGAACTGCATCTATTCTTAGAAAACTTATACAATTCCCAAATACCTGAATCTGGTTTAGAGCTCAGGGTGATATCAGCTAAAAATGAGGTATATTTTTTATTGTTCTCTTATTTTATTTTTTTTTTTACTGTTTTATATTATCTAGCTCAAAAGTTTGCAAACTTTCAAACATCGTGACACATTTTTTAGGACTGATTCCATAGTGATTGCCACTATTTAGAAGCTGAATCCATAGTGATAACCACTTTTTAGAAATGGATTCCATAGTGAATCCTACTATTCAGAAACTATCAAACTATCTTAGTGACTACAACTTTTTAGAAACTAAATCCACGGTGGCATCTACTCTTTAGAAACTAAATCCATTATGACTCCCTACTTTTTAAAAACTGAATTTTTCATAAATTTCTTCATTCTTGTCACACTTAACTTTTTCTGAGTTTTTATTTTTCTAAAGAGATTTTTTTTTTCAAAACGCATTTTCTTTTTAAGAGAGGTTATTATAAGTTATTGAAACAGTATAGGGTTTAAATTTTTATGACTTAAAAGATTGAACTTAATAAAAAATTAAGTAATAAACTTGAAAAATTTTTTGTATGAATACAGCGCCTTGCAAAACAAAAAGATGGGAAGAATGGTTTTCTGAAGTGAGGAACGATGGTTAAGAAAATGTGTGTGTTGATAACTTGGAGTATTTTTTATTTTTGATGATGTTTTGAGTTATCAAGTTTCACTATACTTGCACTTTAAGTTTACATTTTATAGTTATAAAAGAGCTAGCCGACCTTGTGCATATCCTTATTGTTTGAATCTTCTATCACCAAAAATTCATTTTAAAGAATGAAATGTCTTTTATTTAAATCTGTACATGTTAATAAGTTAGTGATTATTAGTATTGATAATAGTTTGTTTTTTATTAAAATTGTAAAATAAAATATTTGATTTTCATTTTTAGGATTTTATTACTGTCAGCCCTGATAAAGAGAAATTACCCAGCATTCCTGAAAACGTAAGAAAAGATTTGTTTTATTTTTTCATACATTAGAATCTTTTTTTAAATGAATTGCTCTTATTTTCTTTCGAAATTGTTTTACAACTAATATTCATTTAAACTTATTGCAGCAAATTATTTCAATATTCATGAATTAATTCCATTTTCTGAAATGAAAGTTTGTAAATTTTATTAGTTGCTTAATTAATAAATTTTATTATGACGTTTTGCTCCAATTGTTCCAAAATAAATGCTTTGAACATTTTGCTAAATTAGATTTCCTTTTTGAAAATAGATACTTTCTTTAAATAGCAGTAGACTTTCCCTATTAATGTAAGCATAACTAAAATGAACTAATATGTCATGTTTACATTATTAGGAATGAATATTATTAAAAACTGTTTACACTGCATTGAAAGATTACCTACTTTTGAATTAGTAAATCTATTGCTTCAATAGCTCTAAAGTATTATTTAAGTAAAGTAAAGTAAACCTGAAATATTAATATCTCAGTACCCAATCATATCATTTCTCTAATGATAACATGGGACATAAATATGAAGCAACAATTTGAGATTCATTATTTATATTTCTTTTTCTTTTTAGAGAAATATGACAGAGTATTTTAATGCAGTTGATGCCCAGAATATGATGGTAATCTTTGCTAGGTAAATATGTAATTCATAAGTCTTGTTCATTAATTAGCTTTTTTTATTATTCAATGTTAATGTATGAAAATTTAGTAACCCAGCATTTAAAGAACTAAAAAAAAGTACAGTAAAAATTAAAGTACTTTGTATTGGTTTTATGCAAGCATTTCTCCATGGATCTAATATAAATCTGTACAATTATGTATTTTTATGTCTAGCACTTTTTTGTATAGGGTAGAGAGTTTTTAATTTTGATTCCTATTTTCTGCTAAGTGTTAGTTAAATTTTTGGAGAGGGCACTTTTTACCTATATATGCTATTCTGATATGCCTGCCAAGCAAAAGGCTCATATTATAAAGAGAAAACAGATACATACTTTTTAAGAAATTTAAAAAGAAATAAAAGGTTAAATCGTTATAAGAAAAAAAGAATATTAATTTTATGTTATGAAAGAAAGACTTGAGTTGCTTATGCATTACGATAAATTAATATGTGTTTGCTGTTTTAATTGTTGAGAAATATTTATTAGTTTATTTTCTTTTAAGCATGTTACATGAGAGGAGAATATTAATTTCATCCAAAAAACTTAGTCGATTGAGTGCCTGTGTCCAAGCAGCAAATGCTCTCATCTATCCTATGCATTGGTTAGTTTTTATTCCTTCTTTATTTTGTAAAGAATATATTGTAAGTTATAATTTGTTTTTATTCAGTTTAGCATAACATTGTTTTGTTTTATCCTAAACATATTATGAACATTATTTCTTTTTAAGTAGATAATGCAGTTTTTTAGACCAATCAGAGGAATTAATGTAAAGATAATAATAACAGGGTGATCACTCATTATGGAAACAGGGAGAAGCTAGAATTATCGGGGAATTTGGAAATATTATTAAGAAACTTCTCAGAAAAATATACCCTCAACTCTAGAATATCAACAATTAACAGTTTTGTTGGCCATATTCATTTCAATGAATATTATTTTATTGCTATGCACAGAGTGTTTTTCAGTTTATTATTGCGCGCTTTTATGTAACCAATTATATTTTTTAAGACATATCCAGTTGTCCTTTTATTTATTTATTTTTTTCGTCATCAATGCTAGTTGAATAAATAATTCATTTTTAAACAGTTCAACCTTATAATTTCGGTTTTTTTTATTATTTAAGATGTGAGGTTTTAAAAAAACAGCTCTTATCAGTCTGAAACTTGTAATAAAATTTATAATAAATGATTTTAAGCAAAGTCTTAAATGTTAAATATCAGGAGAATTTTGGCTTAGAACACCGAACATTTTTAGTTCGAAAAATAAATAATTTCGATTTAATTTTTTTCTTCTTCTGTACTTAGAAACAAAGTCTTAATACATGTTAATGTATCTGCAAGCATTTGAATTGCTTAAAAATTTATGTTAATTTAATATATCCGAAAACTTTGCTAATTTTCTCTGGAAATCTCATGGAATTTGGTTTTGTTTAGAGAGTGGTCACCCTGTAATGATTATAAAATACCCTATTTACATCTTTCATTTTCAACTTTTTTTAAAATTATGGTATCTAAGCTTTAGTTTTTATTATTATTATTATTTTGTTTATTTAGTGCATTTTGACTAGTTACCGCCTGGTTCAAAAAAATATGATTGATTACAAAAAAGTAATTAAATAAAAAGCAAAAAACTTTTTTTTTAATGCAGAATTCACTGTATCACTTTAAGTGTACTGCCAAATATTTATAAGAGCAGATTAAAATTTAAAAATATTCACCACACAAACAGTTATGCTTTTTTTTTCCTGGTAAAAAAAGTTCATTATTTTTATTTACATAATTTAAATTATTTTAATCATAAATAACATTAATTTTTTCAATGAAAAATGAAATGAATCAGTTTGAGTATACTATCAAATTCAGAATTATTATAATAAATTTCATAAGTTACATATAATCATTAATTTGAATGTTGTATTAATTCAGTTTTATTTATGAATATATTTTCGCAACACAGATTGAAATCTAGAAATATGCTTTGAACAAACTTTAATTAATAATTTATTTTATTTAAGAATATGATTCTAAAGCATGTGATCTAAAATCCTAACAGTTTATTTGAAGATTTTTAATTTGATTGGTAGATTTAATTATAAATAAAAAATATTTGCACATTGACGTTTTTTTATTACTATACAAGAGTATGAGGTAATAATGTGGAAACAATGTAATAAGCAAAAATATACAATTTTGAAGGCAAGTAGCCATTAAGCAAGTAATTCACTGTTCACTGTTAGCTAGCAAAGTACTGTAAGCAAAAACATCTCATGAGTGCTAAAATTAATAATATCCATTTAATGATTCAATACCTAGAAAATAAATTTTAAAAAAATGTTTATGCATTCTTAAATGAATTAAAAAAAAAAATGTCTTATATAGCTCTAATTGTACTTTTCTGTAAGTTTGTTGAACTAATATAACACAGATTGAAATCTAGAAATATGCTTTGAACAAACTTTAATTAATAATTTATTTTATTAAAGAATATGATTCTAAAGCATGTGATCTAAAATCCCAACAGTTTATTTGAAGATTTTTAATTTGATTGGTAGATTTAATTACAAATAAAAAATATTTGCACATTGACGTTTTTTTATTACTATACAAGAATATGAAGTAATAATGTGGAAACAATGTAATAAGCAAAAATATACAATTTTGAAGGCAAGTAGCCATTAAGCAAGTAATTCACTGTTAGCTAGCCAAGTACTGTAAGCAAAAACATCTGATGAGTGCTAAAATTAATAACATCCATTTAATGATTCAATGCCTAGAAAATAAATTTAAAAAAAATGTTTATGCATTCTTAAATGAATTTAAAAAAAATGTCTTAGATATATCTAATTGTACTTTTCTGTAAGTTTGTTGAACTAATATAGTTATGCATTTCAAATATTATTTTCAGGCAACATATATTTATTCCTGTTTTGCCAAAGCATCTTTCAGATTATTTGAGGTTAGTGATCTTTTTATGAATATGTCTTACAGTTTGATGTGTTACAAAATAATATTTCATTGCAATATTTATTGAATTAATTATTTTACTGCAATTACGGAAAACATTTTGAGTTGTTCTTTACAGATTAGCAATACTATCTTTTATCGCACTCTTTAAAAATAAGAAATAGGTGTGACAGGGATTTGACAAGAACCGCTGAGAGAAAAAGATTAAATTGGAATAGATTTCCATATATTGGAATGGGGTGGAATCATTAACTAAATTATTAGAATTTTTCAATGTATTGAGTGATTTCCAGAAATCAAGTTTAGTACATGAAGAGCATGATTTTAGCACAAGAAAACTCAAATCTATGATTAGAATTCCAACTATGTTGTTTAATTGTTTAGTATCGCAATTTTTACGTATCTTTCAGATTCTATAAGTTGAAGATAAAGATTGCATGTAGTTTGTCCAAAATCTTATCAGAGACTTATGTAAATTATTTAATAAAATGTAACTTAATTTGCAAAAATATCATTGAATGATATGAATACATTGGTTTAATGATATATTTAAAAAAATTAAAGTGCATGGTTATAAATATATTATACAAACGATAATATTAGACACTTTAAAAAAGGGGAGGCACATTAATTTAAAGTGGAGTGTTTTTGTCTTGTGATCTGGGTGAAGTAATGAGAAAATTTGGTGGCCTATTAGTTTTACCATTAAATAAAAATTATATAAGCATATTATTTTGACAATATAGAAATTGTTTTAAGCTTAATTTTTCAATTCATTTTTTTTTCTTCTCTCACAGTGCACCGATGCCTTTTTTAATTGGGATACCTGCTACAACCTTGTCTGTAAGTTATATTTTTTTTCTGTGTTAATATCAGACAATAGATTTACTTATTTGAACTGAAATGCTTATTAAAAACAGTGGCATGTTGCATTATTTTAAAATCTTTAGGCTTTGGAAAATGTAAAAAGTGGTGGCAGAATTTCCATATTTTTAATCACTTGGTGAGGGGTGCAAATGGAGTTTTTGATTACCATGAAGCATTTTAATTTGAAATTATGTGTAATTTAAATTTGAAATTCTTTAATATATCAATTTTTTTAAATTGAAGTTACATCCTGATGTAACTTCGATTACATACAAGACAAATTTGCTTCTCCCCATTAATTTGTTATTTGAAAACAGATTTTTCATTGTTTTACAAGAAAACTTTCAAATATTTGTTTCAAGTATTGTAGCCTCGGTTTTTCTAGAATTTACCCAAACTCCTGTAGAATATACATATTTTTCCTACTTTTTCCAAAAGATTGAAATTTGCCTAATAAAAAGCAGGATTTTAAAATTCAAAAAAAATATTTGAATGAGAAAAACATATTATATAAAAATAACTTAATAATAAAATATACTTTAATGTAATTTCCTTATTTGTCTGTTTTATTTGGAAATTTATCTAGTTGTTTTTTGTTGTATAATTCTGAAGCATTAAAATATCTTAAATTTTAATTTTGATATGCAGTCCAATGCATTACTTTACTTTAATTTATGTAGATAATTTTAAACTAGATGTTATCCACTGCCATAAATCATCCTATTCATAAATTGATTAGTGCTATTAGGTATTTTTGTGCATTGTCATACTTTCACAATAAAGTTATGAAATATTATTTTAATTGATGTAAACATTTTAGAGAATGAAAATGACAGACATGGGGGATATAGTTTATCTGGATGCTGATGAAAATAAAATAGAAACACCTTTTGCTGACCTTGATGCCTTACCATCTGAAGTTGTAAGTTAATTTTCTAACCTTCTTGTTTTATATTTTATTAATAATTTTAAATTTCTTTTATTTTTATCCAGTATTTGGCTTGATTTTTTTTCTGTTAGGTTTGATTCTTTTTATTTAATATTTTTTTTTTCTTCCTGTGCATAAAATCTTGAGTCCTGTCTGTAAATGAAATCACATAGTTAAGTTTTAGGATCCTGCAATATTTAGATCATAAACTTTTTACTGTGTAGTAAAAATTACCTGCAAAAGTTGAAATATTTTTGCTCTTAACTAGGTTCTGTGAATAAAGAGTTGCTACTTCATTCTCAAACATATCATATCAGTAATAAAAACATATTACACCTTTTAGGGTATATGTAATTCACTAGTGCATGTAAAGGTATATGTGCAAGCATATTATATAGGGTAAACTAACCATTGAAGGAACATTTAAGCTTCGCTTGCCTTTTAAAAAATCTTATTAATTTCAAAATTCGTAATTTTAGTTAAATGACAGTGTCAACATATTTGTTACTAATTGCAAATTATGTAAAAAAATTGTAGAGAACTTACATAATATTGTTTTAAAGTTTTGGAGGTTCAAATAACAAGTAGTAAGAAGACCAAGTGAAGGAACAGCTCTTACCAGTGAATGAACACCCAGTAAAGGAACACTTAATTTTGGTTATTTTTTAATGCTCTTTATGAATTTATAAGCCATACAAATATTTAAAAACAAGCCTATTCTTGAAATTATAACATATAAATACTTGGAAAATGTTAACTTTTTTTTGTAATCATGAATTGAAAATTAAAGTGTCAACATACTAACACATACTGTTCATTCACTGGGAAATCTATGCCCAGTAAAGGAACATGCCTGTTCCCTCACTGGCTAGAAGTTGTTTTTCGTATTTTTAAGATACTTTTGATTCGGAACATCACTAAAGGTACAAGAAAATTAAAATTTATCTTGTATTTTCATTAACTTAGAAAAAAAACTAGTAAATGAACACTTGTTCTTTCACTGGTTTTTCATCATTTGGTGATCCAGTGAATAAACACCCCCTTATCTCAGTACTTTATTTTGCCATGATGCTTAAAAAAAAAATAAAACGTACTTTCATTAACTATATTTTGAATTCTCCTTTTCACAGTGAGAAAAATAAAACTTTTACAGACAATTAATTTCACTTCAAACATATAAATGCAAACACGCACCTTATCATTTTTTCAAAGAAACAAGGTGTTGCAGAGATAATAACAAATTCAAAAATTTTTCCAGAGAAGTCTCTTTGACCAGGTAATCCAAAACATTGCTAGATGACTTCCTATTGTTTGGCAGTAAGCTATTGTTACCAATCAATCTAAAGAAAAACTTTCAAATTCTTATTTTTAGCCAATATATATGAAATGTTCCTTAACTGGTTGGTTTATAAATTTTATTAGTTATTAAGAATATGAAATTTCATTTAAAAAAAAAAGCATTTTAAAATCACAAATTCATTAAAACCTATATGCAAACCTATGTAACACCTATATGACACAAATTCATCAAAACCTATGTGTAAAAATTCATTAAAAACCTATATGCATTTTGATATCACAATGGTACACCTTCATGAGTAGAATAAAAAACAATGCTAAACACAGGGATGATAAAAGTTCAACAGAGATTATATTATACTAAAAGAGATAAATATACAGTTAAAAAAGCCAAAAAATTAATTTAAAAATTAATGATTTTCAAATGTTAGACTGATATGGTACAGCAGTAAGCTCATTCATAATAGAGTTTTTAATGATTATAGTAATTCTCCCAAAAATCTAGATCAACTGCGGAAATGAATTTATCAATAAATGCTTTTGATGAAATTTAATTTTGTCACAAAGAATTACTTCTGTAATTTTATCAAGACTATGGTATGTGGTTTAAAAGTTTGATTTATAATTTAATAAAATAAATTACTAACCCTAATGTTCTTAACATTATTTATTCTTTAATATTATTTAATTTTATGCTTAGAAAATGTCAAAAAAGAATTTTTTTTTACCCTGAGTGTGTTATATCATCAGAGTTTATAGCAGTTTGGTTCTTGTGCCATTAAACTCTGCATTCAATCCCACAGGTTATGTAAAGATCATAAACGTCTGAATGTCTTTCTTTGTCATTTAACTTAATATCTGTTGCAGTTGCAGTCTCTTCGACATGATTTGAAGCATCCTCACGAAATGCTGGGGGATGCTGTCGCTAGAGCCTTTCTCAAAGCTCTGGTGAAGCTTATTGGTGGTTACTGGAATGCTTTGAAGTTGAGACCAACTGAAAAAATCACTTTTAGTCCGGAATTGTTTGTTCAAAGCAGACCATCTGCAATGCAACCTTTCTTACAAAAAATGCTTGAGTTACAAATCTTTCAACAAGTAAGTTCATTTTACTATAAAACATAAAAGTTTTTATAGAATTTTTTTGAAATGCTTTGTTTTTATAAATTTTACAGATAAATGTAAAACATTTTATTAAACAAAATACGAGCTTAAAATTATTGATTGAGATTTTATGTTCGCAATTTATTTACACAATTTTATGTACTCGATTTGCACATACATGATTCCAAATGGAGAAAGTTTTTTAAATGCAATTTTATTTCAAATTAATGATTTCAAAAACATTTTTAAACTTAAATTTTTTGACCTTCATTAATATTATTATTATTTATTTAATATTATTATTTATTTATTTTTTTTGAAATTTTGTTTCCCTTATTTTTTATATTTTGTTTAACCATATGACTGTTTTTAACAAATATTTAACTGTTTTTTTTTCCTTCGCTTTTATTATATTTGTTGTTTGTGGCCCTAAACTGAATTAAGAATAAGTCTTGGTTGTTTTCTTACATTAGAGTTTTAATTTGTTGTAAAATATGCAAAGAGAAGCTGTAAATATTTTGGTAATTTGACAGTTAAAATGATTTAGTACCATTGAATTTCCTTTCATTTTATCAAATTTTTACAAATAGATCTTTTGCAGTTTATTGATAGCAGGCTAAAGAAATTAAACTCAGGACAAGGTGTAAATGATGAATTTGAGTTTGAATTGACAGCACACGAAGACAAAGCAAGCTTCCGTCTACGAAATCAATATCGTGATTGGGTTTCCACTATGAAAGTAAGTCAACTGTCTATGTAATTTGTTTCCTTAACTGTGATTTGTAGAAATTTATAATAGTTTATTATAAAAAAAATTATAAATAAAATTGTGTTTTAAATTTTATTTTAGAAAGAAGGGGGTGCCTTTTTCAAGATCATGAAAACAAAGGTAATCAAGTATAAATAAATGTGAAGAACTAATTTTAAAATACTTTAGTGTTAAATTTTTATGCATTTAATTGAAAATATATTGTAAATAATATTTAGCTCTGAGTATTAACATTATTTAAACTCTATAAATTAACTCTATTTCTCTTAACTTTCTTAACTCTTATAAATTAACTCTATTTCTGTTGCCTGTATTATCCTTTATAAGATCCTGAAGAGTAAACTTCTTTCCAATTGCATAAATTAATTTCAATTGGAAGTTATTTTCCCACCAGACTATCCATTGATAATTTTGGAAAAAAACAAAAAAAATTTCCAAGGAAGTGTTTTGTTTTCATAAATGTAGGTAGCAATAAATGTTAGGATGAGATCCAGAATTTTCTTTTGAGTGTTATGAGTTCGTTCATCTTTAATCGCCTCTCATTCAGTGACAACTGAGTAAACAACGAATTTGTAAATTCAGTTGTTTATAAGCACAAGAGTTCATTTTTATGGCCAATATCATCAAAAAAAAAATTTCTTCAAATCTCTTTAATTTAGGGTAATAAACTAAATGTATTTCTTTTTATAAATCAACCTATATCCCAAAAGTATTTTAACATACCATTGCTAGAAAAAAACTGGTTCTGTAAAGGGTTAAGGTAATTATTTTCAATGATCTTGAGCAAGTTATTAAGAACAAAGTGTATGTAAGTGTTAGAAGTTAAGTGTATTTACAAATCAAAATATTAAAAAAAAGTTATTATAAAGATAAAAATTTTAAAAAGAAGTTTTTTTTTTGTTTAAAATTATTTGAAAAAGCAATAAATTACATTTGAAAGTGTTTAAAGTTAGAATATTGCTTAATTTAAGTTATTTATTGTTTAAATTTTTTAAACATAGTTTATTGATATGGTATCTATCTGTTGGTGTTTATTAACAAAATTGTTAATTTAAAATTAAATAAATATCTTTAAATTTTAGGTAAAAGATACATCGAAAAAAGCTTATAAGGATATTAGATCTCGAATTCATGATATTCATAATCATACTGTAAGTATAATTTTAGTATTTCATGCGTCTTTTTAAATAATAAAGAGATGCAACAGTTTGTTAAATTTTGTTCCCTTTTCCAGATGATACCTGATGAAGCTCCAGAAGTTCCTCAACGCCGGGGCAGTGTTCCAACATCTTTTAATGGTGTTCATTCACATCACAAAAAGCATTCAGTGAAAGTAAGCGAGATTTTATAATTTTTAAATAACTATTATTCTCATAGTAACAAAGTGAAATTATAACTCTAAAAGTACAGTTTAAATAAACAAATGATTTTAATTATTCAAAATTTAAAGCATTATTGAATAATATTTTGATTTTAATAACTTAGTATTTAATAATGGATATGTTATTTTTTTTTTTTTACACATTGTGAAGGAATAGTAAAGAACAGCGGTTCCCAAATTCTGTTTCCCGGAACCCTAGGGTTCCAGAAGTTAAGATTTTTTTAAACTTTTTTGAAGCCTGTAATTATGTTTAAATATTAAAAATCCATTATTTACTTTAAATTCTGGTTGCCTTTACAATATTAAAGTAAAATGCCAATAAGAAAAGAAATAGTTTATTCTTTTCTATTAGCATTTAATTTTTCATTAATATTTGCGTATTATTTCGGGTGAAAAAAACAACATAAATTTTCATAAAACAATGTATTGAATGAACTACAAAAAGGACGTGAATTTATAAATATTGCATTTGTACTTCTCATTGTACTTTTCAAAACCTGAATTGTTAATAGAGAAATATGTTTCCCTATTAGCAATTTTCATTGTTTATAGCAGTTCTCTTTCGTTTTAATTTCAATGAAAACCATAATTCTGCCTATTTCATTCATCATAAACTTGTGTTCATGCACCAAAAGCAAATTCATAACAAGACTAGATTGATCTCCAGGATTCAACTGTCAGATATAAAACCAAATTTAAGATTTTTAATGATAAAACAATGAAAAAATGCTGTTCTTTTTAAATATTTTTTTAATAAATCAGTCTTTTATCGATTAATATGCTCACAGTTGTGTTTATGTACCGCTGGTATCTGTATTCAGAAACCGTGAAATGTATTCAGAAATAAATTGAGGTCGAAATATAAAATCAAGAAAATGTGCGTTTTTCAATTTGAACTGAGCATCATTAGGTTTAAAGACAGTAGGTGGATGTGTGCTTCCAAACTATCTTTTATCCAACTTAAAAATTTCAAATAAGAAAGAAGATTAAGTAGTTTATGTTGAATTATGTTAAGTCATAGTTATTCAAAGTATAAAAACTATTATTCAAAGTATTAATAGTTATCTCAAAGCATACTATTAGTAGTTATGTAGAAGTTTTATGTTTATGGGCTCACAGATATCTTTAGAAAAACTATTAATTTAGATTAATTTAATGCATATCAGTTCAATTAAAAACCTCAATGTGCTAATTGGCTAGAAATCAATGCTTTAAGATATAATGAATTAGTTTATATGCTAAGACCCTACAATGTCTGTGATTAAAACTCAATTTGTAGGTTTTATTAAAACTATACGTGCAAATGTCATTACCAATTGTCTAAAAATCTATACTTGTACATTTAAATGCATAGTTTTTTATAAAATCTGTAAATTTGGAATATATTGTATTAGATTACCTTATCATTAATTTTAAGTCACTTAATATCTTAAAAAGCATTGATTTCTGGACATTTTTAATTTGATAGCTTATGAAAGATGAATTAAATTATTACATAATGTAAATAGAAATTATTAACTATTAAAATTTACTTACATCCAATTTGAGCCAGGTAAAGAAAATTTTTAATGTTCTGTTATTTGCTTCCTTAAAATTCTGTAATCTTTCCTAGAATACTTACCGGAAAGAATCTCTGACCCACACAAATTCATCAGATAAACAAAGCAATCTGTAAGTATTTATTTTCTATTAATTTTTTTTTTACAATTTTTTGTATTTAAATTATTATTTATGGTGTTTAATCACATTTTTTATTAATAAATTTTAAAGGTGACCTTCAATAGATCTTTTGTCATATGAAATAATGTTTTTTTGGCTAGTGATATATTTTTATTACTACAGTCGAACTCGTTTATAACGAACTCGGATTTACCGAGGGAAACGAGAATATTTGGTTGGATCAATGTTAAGTCTATGGAACAGAAGTCGCTTTTAACGAGCAAGACCCGGTTTTAGCAAGCAATATTTTTCAGTCTTGCAATCTTTTTTCTCATCTTTCTAGTCTTTCTGTCTCATCTTTTTTTCAAAATGATAAGAAATGTGCGCGAAATAAAAAGGAAACGCGATTAAATTAATTAATGTAATTAAAGTAAGTAAGTATTAATTAAATTTTAAGTAAATTCAATCATTTGACCTCCCAAGCCCCCTCCCCTCTTCTGGTTGCACGCCTGTCTTAAGTACCCGTTTATTACGAGCACTCGGATTTAACGAGTACATGTTACGGTCCCTTNACTAATATAAATTTGTAAATCATAACAGGGTTCCAACGGTACTTGAAAAACCTTGAAAGTCCTTGAATTTTGTTGAAAAAAGTCAGGGCCCTGAAAAGTCCTTGAATTCTGCCATAGGGTACTTGAAAAGTACTTGATTTTTTGGAATTGAAATAATACTAATCTTTCTTACAAAACAACAGTAAAAAAATAATAAATAAATTCAAACGAAAATTATAGAAATTCTGGTAGATGCAATTTTTAATTGCTTGAAGTGAAAAAGGGTTAAAGAAGATACAAAATTTTTCACTTTTGATTATTGTTCATCTCTGATGTTTAGAAAGCTGAAATTTCTAGCAAATTTTAGTTTTTATAGTCATAGTTTCTAAATGATAACTAGTGTTTCATCGATTTATAAATATGTTCAATGTGTTAATTTCATTATTATGACAGGTTAATATTGTTATCCTATTTATTTTTTTAATTTTTATAAGAAGGATCATTAATTTGTTGTCATATAAAATCAGATTTTTACATTTAGTTTTTACTGCTAATACATAAAATTTAGTTCTATATTTCATGAATTATAAATAAACCTCGTGATTCACATTAAACTGATTCTTGATTTATGGATCGAAATTCATATGAAATGTTATATGACTTAGGATTCAAATGAAAGTGATTAATGAATATTATATCGAATGCTGCTTTAAAGTGATTTGCAAAATTCTCATCAGGATTCGTATTAAGGTATTTTATAAATCTGATTCTCATTAAAAAATGATTTATCAAACACACATCATGATTTCAATTAAAGTTATTTCTGAATCATGTAATGTGATGGGTATTTAATTTCAGAATCGTGCATCGCAATTTTCATTCAAGTAAATTACATGGTATTAGAAGGATTTAAGAATCATATAAAAGAGATTTAAGAATTAACGCTTGAAATTCTAATATAAAAGATTTATGAATCACACGGAGTTGTTCTATAATAAGCAACTTTCAAATCACAAATTGCAATTTCCCTCATAATGATCACAATTCACATGAAAATATCAGCTAATCACGCAACAGAATTCACAATAAAGTGATTTATCTCACATCGTGTTTTAAGTCTTGTTAGTTCCTGCGTTTTGTAACGTAATCAGAGGTCTTAATTTTTTTGTATAGCTACTAATGAAGAAAATTATATATATATTTCAAGTTTAATTATAAGTTTGCCAATATGAATTTTCTTTTTGTTGTTTTTTTACATGTTCTTGTGATCCTTAATAATTCATTTGTTTGGTCTCCTCCTCTCTTTGATTTTTTTTCTGTATTTGACATGTTATAGCATGCAAATGTTGTTATTACTGCAGATGGACAAAATTCCTTCAATAATCTGCAAGCCCCTCCTCCAAAGAAAAAAAAAAGGTTTTTGTACAGTTTTTATTTTTACAAAGATTTTACAGTTTCTTTGAAAGTTGCTTATTTAATGATGAGAATTCTGATCATTATTATTTGAATTATAATTGAACTATTTGAATTATAATTGAATGTTCCACATTAAAATTTCTTTAAAAACAAGATAATGAAAACTATATCTGATGATTTGAGAAAAAAAGTACTATTATAATTTGACAAAAACTAAGATTTCTCTCTCTCTGTATGTATATATATATATATACATACATACATACATACATATATATATACATACATATATATATATATATATATATATACACATATATGCATTGCGGATATTTTTGTCTATTTATTATTATTTTTNAATATTCTAAAAACAATTTACGGTGTTAAATTTCGTTATTAGGGTACCCTTCCCGTAAACGGACAACTCTCATAAACGGACAAATTTTTTGGTCCCATGAATGTCCGCTTAACGGAGGTTTCACTGTATATATATATATATACACATATATGCGTTGCGGATATTTTTTGTCTATTTATTATTTTTTTTACAATTTCAGAAATTCTGTGTCCACTAATGATACATTAACTCCTATGTCACCACTACGGCGAAGCGTTCTCGATAGTCCGCAGCTAACATTCCAGCCAATAGATGTAGATCTAATGGGTGATTTACATGAAGTTATATTCCGAAGTTGCACTTTATGTAGCAATCATAGAACTAGCATATCTGACCCACAGCTTATTGATCTATCGGTAATATTTCAATTCCTAATTCATATACTGATTGATTGTGAATACTAAAGAATACTAAATACCTATGAACTTATGAATTTTCTCTAATAAAATGCCTTGCTTGCTATATTTCTGTTTTTATGATTGGTTTTATAGGCACCATTTTCCATACTTCAAAATTGGTTTATAACCAGAAATGTAAACAGTGTAAAACATCCTATTGCAAATATTTAAATGAATGTATCAAGATCGTGATCAATGATCTAATATATTCACTTAGAAAAAAATTTAAATATAATAACAAATGAAATATTTGATCAAATAGATGTAAATAAACTTTTTCGAATAAGTAAAGTGCAGTAAATGTTTTATTTAATTACGAGAGCCACTTAAAGTTCTGTCATTAAAATAATATTTTCACAAACCCCATTCATATTACTTGGAAACTCCTTGGAGTTTTCGAACCACAGTTTGGAAGATGAAATGAAAGGTGTTTTCAGAGGTGCAAACAATCACAATTTATCTGTTATTTTGATTTCATGGTCAAAATTAGTGTCTTATGGTTAAGTAATAAAAATTTCGGATTTTTTAAAATTTCTATAATTATCTCCTAAAAATAAGTTTTTCCCCTTAACTAACAATAGTTGTGAAATTTCATTGTTTGCAACTAATATACAATAATCTTTTTTTACTCCTTGAGCAATTCTTAAGGCAATAAATGAATTTCGTTGTTCGTAACTAATCTACGATATTTTTTTTATACTCTTAGAGCAATCCTTAAAACAATGAATGAATAACAATTTGACTGAAACAAGAAATTAATATAAGCGAAGCAATTTCATCCTTACATCTTCCAACAAGCTATTCTAAAATTTAATTTTTCGTTCTTCTTGAAAAGCAACTCAATTTCATAAATTTTTCTTTTTTTAGCTTGAAGACAATTCACCGTGTGGACCTGATTGTGTAGCATCCCCTTTAAGAAAATCAGATTCATCCAGTTCTTCTGATCCACCTCCCCCACCACTGTTACCAAGACCCCCAAACTATAAGAACAAATCTTTTGATACCCCTTCTAGAGGGAATCATGAACTTCTTATTGAATTAGAAACAGATATCTGCAATTCAAACGACATTAATATATTTTCAAGCAATTCACATTCAGATTCCACTTTAAACGCCACAAACTTTTCAGCGCTATCCCCGCTAACTTCTAGCCAGCCCCTGTTTATACCGAAAAGTCCTGTAAATACCAATCCTTTTGTCCAGTACGTGCCTGATGTTTGCTATCCGAGCAATCAACCTACACTCAGCAAAAGTGCGTCTGGGTCCAATGTAAAAAATATGGTTAGTATGTTTCAGTCTGTGACACCACCAAACGAAGGAAATTCTTATCTCTCCACCAACTCAGAGAGACTTAAGACTAATAACTCCACCCAATCTGTGTTTAAAACTCCGGTGTCGCGGACATTTTCAACTCCGCAATCTTCAAATTCCGGTGTAGCTAATCAACCAGTTTCTATGATCCGTTTAAAATCTGCTTCGAAAGTGTCAACCAATCCGTTTGTGGTCGCTGATAACAAACATAATTTTATAAAAGATAACAAACACGTGGGTGGCAATTCTATGTCTTCTGCATGGGAAAATTTTCAGTAGGGAAAAAATTTAGAAGTATAATTTTGTGTTTTACTGCAAGGTTTATAAATAATCTCCATTAATATTATTTATTGCATTATACTCTTTTTCTTTCTGTGAAAAAAATGAATTAAATTAATTCTGTCATTCTTTATTGGCAGTTTTAATTTTATTTTTCTAATGGTTGTTGTATTAACTGGAACAGAATGGAATTTTATATTATCCTTATTAAAAACAAGCATTTATTCATTCTTTATGTATTTTTAGACATTTTTTTCTGAAAACTTTAAATATGTATTTGTAGTAACTTCCTTAACTACTTACTCCATATCTCAGTTAATTAATAGTATAACCTTTGGACACAGAATTTTATTCAACATACTTTTTATTATTTTGTATTAATTTAGGTCCGAATAAGTGAAAAGTATTATAATTAGCATTTTAATAATTTATGGTTATAAAATAGTGCATAAAACACTTTTCTTTTTTGCATAAAAGGTAAAATCTCTCAAAAATGGATTACTTCCAAGCAATCATTTTTCAAATTTGCAGTTATTTAGATATAAGAAAAACAGTTATTCGTCATTGAATTTTCTTTAAGTTACAAAATCATTTATTAATAAATTTTTGAATGAAAATGAACAAAAAAAAAATTTTTTTTTCTTACTAATCTAACAGATTTTTTTTAATAGTTATTAGAATGTTTTTTTTTTAATTAAAAAATATCAAATTATGTTTTGCTTGTATTTAGAGCATCAGAAAAAATACATTTAAGGGAAACCAGTGTCCCACTTGGGACTAAGGGTTAATCAACTAATCTATTTACAACATTAATTAATCCTGTACTTATATAATTCAAATTTTATTGCATATTGTACAAATTTCATTGATATGTGAAGTAAATCTTAACATTATTTATAGTGGTAATATTATTTTATTTGGACCTGTATTTTTAATCTGTCACCATTGGTTGTATTTGTTGTATCACTATCTGCTTTTTTTTTATTTTTAATATGTTGCTGTTTTTCAATATGTGATGGTTTTATTTTTCTGTACTTTGAGATTACTGCGTTTATTAGAACATTATGAAATTTTATAACCTGTTCTTTTTTATAACTCAAATTATACGTAAACATTCATTCATTAATTTAATTTTTTTAAACAATACTTTCTGAAAATAGTTAGGAAAAATTTTAATTAATTAATTTTATTTCAAACAATACTTTCTGAAAATTGTTATGAAAGATTTTAATTTATTAATTTTTTTTTTGAAAAATACTTTCTGAAAATTGTTAGAAAAAATTTTAATAATTTGATAATCACCATTTCCCTGTTCCTATAACATTTTAATTAGCTAAAGTAATAAGTAAGTTGAAATCAGTGTGTAGGTTAATAATTTATTCTATTGACTAAATTCACTAATTTTAGCACTCAACTTGATCGACCTGTTCAGATTTCATTTTAAATTTTAAAAACTTTTCTTAAATGCGAAGTTAATTTCAACATTTCTTTATGGATGGGGAACCATATAAAACATAGCAAAAGTGGAGCTAGCTGTTGAAATACATAATGCAACGTCCCGGTTACTATTCCAATTTTATTTTTAAAAAATACATGTTATCCCATATTGATGCACTGTTTACAATATGAGTTTTGCTATTTACCATTTAATTGGTATTTAACTTTAGCTGAAGACATTAAAAACTGAAGGCAACATTCAAAACATGGCCACCCTTGCATTTTATGTTGTGATATTAAATTCTTTCAGTCAATTTATAGCTTACAACCTTTTAGAATTTATAAAAAAACAGGAAAATCTTATGAATGATGAAATTATGTGCAAATTTAAATATAAATCTCAAAACTGAAGCATCCTAAAATATTAAAGCTACTCACACATTGTCTCATAACATAAGCGATACGCTGTACATAAGCGATACGCATAACATAAGCGAGTGATACGCTGGTCCGTTTCGGTTTCAAAATCTTGTTACTGTTTGCATTCAGTTCCCATCATTAAAAAAAAAATTATTTTTTAATGTTTCAGAGCCTTCATTATTTCTGTTTTTTTATATCATTCTACATTTGTTTCCAATTTTTGTTTTTTACTTGTTTGTGATTTCAATTTTATTTTTTACTGTATTAAATAATTATTATTACGTTACTTAGAATAATGAAGCATTTTAATATCTACTCTCATTTAAAAATTGTAATTTATTCTTTTCTTACATTTCTTTTACAATCCTTGTTTGAAATAGTTAACGATTTGTAATAGTTTCATAATTATCTTTATTTCAATTAGTTTAATAATTAGTTCCCATTTAATAATTTTAACTCTTATTCATTAGTCAAGGAAATTTTATGAAATGTTAAATATTGCTAAAATATTACTTAATGGTGTTTATTAATGTATTTTAATTTAAATGTTTTAACAAGTTCCATTGTAAGTTCTTGTCTGTTACTTTTTATTTTACAATTCTGTTGTCATTAGTTTACTTTGAAGTGATTATTATGTTAATTATTCAAGATCATAATGTCTACTCATGTTAAAATCTAACATTTGTAAGCAATACTTATTAACAAATTATTAGGAAGCACTTTTGCATTTTCAAAATCACATTCTTCATTTTTTATTATGTTAGTTATTTTAATTATATCACATTTAATGAATTTAACATTATTTTCTTCCTAGCATTTATTTTTTTCATATTTCTTGAACCTTATTTATACTTCCAATTTGAAGTCTGAAAATATAAGATTTATATAAAAATTTAAGCCTTAAAGTGCAATAAAAAATTACACATATTTTTCTATTACTGTGCATAGTTAATATATTTTAATATTAGATATCCATTAAAAATTTGTAAAAGATTTCACAATTCTTTTGTTTTAAAAATTTTTAGAGGAAGATAAAAAATTTTGTACAAAGATTTTAAAAATGAGAAGAATGTATTACTTTTATAATAAGTGATGTACGTAATTTTTTAAAATCTAATTGTCGTATTTGTTTATACGATCCAGTGAAAAATAACTGTTAAAAGCTCATATTATTAGATTTATAAAGAAAAAAAAACACTTTTTATAATATGAGTAAACAATTTTGTATTTGAGTTAATTCTCTACTTCAAATAAGTCCTAAACTGTTAATTTACTATTTAATTTATATGGTGGTGCTATATTTATTCATTTAAAGTTTGTATATATTCATTGTACAAAACAATTATTCAGAAAACATTTATGGCTTAATATTGGTGATAGATCATATAATCAATTCCAAAAAGGTTTTAATTTTTATCAGTTATAAACACACAGTTATTGATATTCATATACAACCATTTAATTATAATTAACTTTCAATTATTCATTATTTTATTATTTGAATTTGTCTAGGTAACTTAAATATATGATTTCTTTTCAAAGGATTTTAATTCTTTGATTAAGTAAGAGTCCCTCAATGCTGAGGTAACCCACTGATATTTCCTATTTTTCAGTTTTTTATTTCAAACTTACTGTACAGCACCATTTCACCTTTAGAAAAAATGAGAAATGTTTTTAAAAAAATTATTAAGCTGTTTGAAAAATTGCTAATTTGGTAAGATTTTCTGTCTTAAATTTAGATAAAAATCATGAATGCTCTATTTCTATATATTTTTATGAGTGTGAACAACATAGTGATTAAATTTTTAAATTTTAAAATATTAGTTCATAAGTGCTTTTTATTTATAAAAAAAACTATGGCCTTTCTGCATATTAACGTAGTGACCATTTTCATAATCAGCAGAAAGGGTTCCGTTTGAAAATGGATAAAACTTAACAGTTCTTATACAAACTCACAATACTTTTGAAATTATTTGCTGAAAAATATTTTTTCACATGTTGCAAAAAGTTTCTGAAAACAGCCTACTTGTAATAACTAAATAAATATTGCATAACTATTTTTATATTCATGTTTGTTCTTTGTTGAAAATTTCTGAAAAATACAGTTTTATATAGCCTTTTGGATGTTAATAACAAAGCAAAAGTTGATAAAGATTGATAATATATTTTTTTCTCTCTAAGTTTTTACATCTTTTTAGAGAAATGTGATTAAAAAGGTTAAATGTATAAAGGAGGCATCTAACCCAAAGAAAATGTTGTGATAATTTATTTTCTGATGGAGTCCTTTATATTTTTTTTATACCCTGTTTATGACAGAAGCATTTTCGTTAATTAAGTTAAAGCTATTGTAATGATATCAGATGTAAAGTTTAAATGGATGAAAGAGGTATAGTTAAATGTTGTCTTTAACGTACATCTTGCAAGTTAAATTGTTGAGTTTAAAATGTGTAGTAAAATTGTTCTCTGAGTGTTTTAAATCTAATGCATTCCATGCCATTTTTTTTTTTTTTTAATCCAAAACATTCCTTCACATTCAGTATTTTATTTTGTAAAGATACATGAAGGAAAAAAAACTGATGTACTTCAGTGTCATTTTTTTTTTCTTTTTTATGATTGAAAATAAATTTCTTGAAATTTCAATGTTTCAAAATTTTTTTTTAACTCAATCAGATTTGTGTAACTGATTTTAATGATTAAGAAAACATTTTGGCTTTAATTCGAACTTTTATTTTTTTCTATTGCATTTATACCATATTTTTTCTAGATAGATAACTGTAAATAATTAAAACTATGAAAAAAAAACAAATTTAAATTTTAAAAAATATTGGTAAATTTTTTAGCTGAAACTGAAAATTGAAAATAGTTAGTTTTAAATACTAATTTTTATTAAGGGTTTTTTTTTTTTTTAGTTTGGAATTTAGAATTTTGCTGGAAAAAACAAACATGTTTTAACCTTAATTTGTGCTGAAATTTCGAACTCAGTGAAGTTGAAATCAGTAGAAATGTTTTTTATACTAGATTATTAACCCGAACACATTGTTATAAATTATGACATTAAGTGCATAAATTTTCAAAATTTACTAAGATATAAGTCAAATTATAAAATAAAAAAAATTGCCTTCAAAACTTAGTCTTCCCTACTAAATTTTACTCTAAGTTTTACAGTTAACTTAGAGTCATACTTTTTAAACCAATAATCAAAGGTAATTTTTTTTTTCAAAACTTAGTCTTTCTAACTAACATTTTTAACTTGCTTCTTAACTACCTCACTAAATGTCAATTTTTCTGTCCAATAAGTTCCCATATTTTTAAAAAAAAAATTTTTTTACTGAGGATAATAAAATTTGTTATGTACGTTTGAAAATATCTGGTGATATTCATTGTATTTTTATTGTTATGTTTTAATTATTACAATAATCTGGTTAAATCATTACAGCCAACCAATTAACTTATGCACTTTTTGGGAAAGATATTCTCTAGTTGACATGAGCTTTATGCTTTTATGTTTGTATTTAAAATAACTTTTTTAAAACAAATTATTTAAACTCGTGTATAGGGAATTTAATTACCTAGAGCTGGGGAAATAAAGCTCAATAAATATATTTCTACCGCTAAAATTAGCCACTTAAAGTGTAAAGATTGCTGCTAGCTGTGAGATTCTTTATGGAATTGTAACGCAAAATCAATTCCTTGAA